AAAAATTCTAATTTGGCAAGGAGGTAGGCTGAACAATCAACAGGGTATTCTCAGCCTCCTCCTTCTGGTACAGACCTGCCCTGCTGTGTTGAGAAAATTTCCTATAATGCTGGCCAAATATTTTTTTTAGGATAAAGTATCAGCTGAGCAGTGAGAAAAAAAATTGTAGTTGAACCGTTAAGCAGCAATCTTAGACTGAACGGGAAATAGGCAGCTTATGCCAGAGACATTGTACATCCCAGTGCAGCTTTATAGATCTCTGCACTGAGACATTAGCGTGCACCTCAGCTCAGCACAAAAACCTGTCTGATCTCTTGCCAGCAAACACTACCATTTATTGCTCTCACTACAAGAGCAGTTGCATCAGCAGGGAATACGGACATCCTTAGTAGGATTTGCTGTTCGTCATTGCCACATGCTCTTTCAAATGACTTGGTTAACTCTGTGTAATCAAGCTAAGAGGCTACAGAGCCACTCCTGTGAGATCTCACATCGGCTGATGTACAGGAAGCTTCCCGAAACCTTGGAAGGAGGGTGGCAGTAACAGAGAAACATGTTCCCTTTTCTTACAGCTCTGCTGCTACCCCAGCAAAGAAGAAACATTCTGCAACCAGGAGCAGGACCGATTCGCACATCACAGACATGCCTTTCAGCTGCATAACCTGTTGTCAGGTTTCCTAACCTTTTCTAATCCTAGTGTTCTTGGAACATGGCAGCCATCTATAATTAGCTAAACAACATTTGCTTTTCAGCAACAATGAAGTTTTGTATTCTCTATAGACATTTGAAATATTGTTCATGGAAAACAGCAAAGAAGAGGACTGCATTTCCCAGCAGGAACTGAACAAAGGAAGTCAGGCTAAACCTGGACTGTTCTTTGCTTTTACCCTTATTATTTGGGTACACATGTGCAGAGTTTGTTTTGGTTGCTTTTTGTTTTGTTTTGTTTTTAAAATAGTCATTTTGGTGTTATCTTCTCTGTCTTAGACCATCAAGGGTTTCCAGACCATGGCTGCACAACTTTAGCCTAGTGTATTAGGTTCTGTTTCCTCCTGCAAACCCTCAAGTTAGTACTGTACTGAGCCATCCTTTACTACGGTTCTGCATTTTGAAATGCATCCATGAACACAGTAAAATCAAAATTACTGTCTTCCTGCTCTAAGTGAAGTTTTAACTCTCAGTCAGGTACACTTGATACCCACAGAAAAGGCATTTAAAAAAAAAAAGTCAACACTAACGAATTCTTTTAGGTTACTTTCATCTCCATTTTCCAGAAATATGTCTAGGTTTAGCCTGGGGTGTACAAAAGTAAAGGACACGTTTAACGCACTAGTTGCAAAGTTACTTGGAGCGCCCTGACAAAATTGATGTTTGGGTTCTGTATCTGTTTCTAACCTTATCTGAAAATAATTCCTTAAGGGGAAAAATACTGGTTTATAGTTGGTTTGTCTCAGCAACTATGAAAACCACATAGGAGTATCTTGGCACAGCGAAACCTTGGCAACACTGCTGCAACACACATTTTTCTCTGCTCAGTTGCTAGTAGGTGTTTTGTGTTTGGGTGTTGTTTTTTTTTTTAAACACAAGTTCTAGAAACACCACCTTTATTTTTTCAGTGACACTTGAGCATAAATGGAAGGAACATATCTAGTGGCAAGAGGAACTTGCTCATGCTAACTTTTCATGCGTTATCAATACTGGCAGGATGATTGCTAAGGTTCCCGCCACACACAAAAAGCATTTAACCTCTACCTAAGTTATCTTTGTTAAGAAAATGGATAATAATTTGCTTTTTTATTTCTCTGTTTCAGAAAGCCTTGATGTTAATTGGCACATAATATTTCTTCTCATCAAGTATCAAAGTATATGCTCAAAACCTTAAAATAGCTACCTGATGATTCTGCGACAAGCCTAGCAAGTCTTTTAAAATTAGAGGTTTTTTACAACCTTTTCCCCCTTACCTCCCAGCATGTGCTAGAGTTGTATGAACATGGTACTTACAAAGGGGTTTAAAAAAAAGTAAAAAAAAAAAAAAAAGAAAAATCAACAAACAAAAAAACCACCCCAAAACATCTAAGTGAGGATAATAAGGTCTCCAAGCACTGTCCCTCTGGTCATGCTGCTGAAATTTTCAAAGAGCAATAATTATGGTGGCTATTTTCCTAATAGGTACACCCCTCCAGAAAATGGATTCTGGACAGAAACTTCAGGTAAGCCAATGAAAAATTATGAAGTGAAAAAAAAAAACAACCTGCTGCTACCATGCAGAAAAACCGATTCAATAAGGAAAGAGAAAACCACTACCACTCCAAATCAAATCCCGAACTAGAAATTTACTTTTGATACAGTGAAACAAGGAGGCGGCTGCAAAAGGAACCATCATCAGTAGCCTAAAGTAGTAAGTCTCCTGTAATTTTAAAGCAAAGGAGTACTGCTGTTTTGCAGGAATTTGAAAATCCTAAGAACTGTTCGTCGCATCTAACCTCAAAGGTGGTATGGCAGAGAAGGGACAGAATTGAATCTGATTCAATGTTTGTGTAGGTGGCAGTACATACCTGGCTACTGGAAAACAGTAATTCCAGGGTAATTTGCATCTACTGGCATGATGGCCTGGAAAACATGACTAGCTCTGAGGAATTTCTCCCCTCCTTTTAAAGTTGAACCCTTAAGTTTAGGAAAAACAAAAAAAAACAAAACAAAAAAAAAAAGCAGCATGTTTGAAGCTAGATTCAAAAGGATATTCAAATTAAAGAAGCCTAATTTAAACTTTAAAAGTACATCTGTAGAGCAGTGTTTCCACACCTAGAAACAGACTTTCAGCTAAATCTCACAAGGCCTTGCTACTCAGCAGTTTTGCATGACTGGACCTCAAATACAATTTAATTCCCTTCAACTAAATGCAGGAAAAAAAACAGAAAGAAGCAAAATTTATATTGAGCACTATAAAAACATTTTATAAACAGCACAAGTCCTAATGCATATGGCTTTTGAGATATTTGTTAATGAGGACTGTTTGGCTATTCAGAGTGTCAGAAAAACTCTTCCAACCCAATTAAGCTAATGCCAAGCACATTTATCAAGAATCACAATGGAAAAACTGTCAGCTTTCTTACTGGAGAAAACCAAGATGCATTTACAGAAGCATTCTGCACAAATAAAGGGGTTTTAAGTGTTTTATTTGTCCATTTGCAATGATTAGTATTTATAATCAACAACATAAATCCACCCCTCAGTGAAAGACCTGACAGCTTGTTATTGCCAAACATATTACAGCCTGCTGAAGGGTGAAGAATTACAGACATATAAAGATGAATAACATTATATCACCATTAAATCACTTACTCTGTTCGTAACAGTTTAATCCTCTAACATTATAAATTAAGATTAGAAAAAAATCAGCGCTTCCAGTGATAAAATACATTGTGTTTAGTGCACAATATAACAGTACAGTTTATTCCACTATTGCATTAAAAGGTAAAAAAACTGGACAGCTCCTTTGAAATAATTGCATCATTGCTGATCTCTCTCTTACACAAACACTACTTGCAGCCACAGAAGCTACCAGGAAGTCTCCAAGTATCCTACCAGGAAAAACCATCACAGCTAAAATAAGTTGGGGTTTTTTGAGAACTGCTTCTCCTATACTCATATTATTTGAATATGAGGACCTAAAATTAGATTCCTTCATATCTGGAGTTACCAGTGACATCCCTTCTGAAATCAAGCAAGTAATGAACAGATTTGCACCTATACTTCAACCATCAAATGAAACTGAAGTGGAAAAACGGCTTTCATTTTTCACCCAGTTAAGTAAATAGTTACTTAATATTTGGAAGCCTTCTAAAAGAGTTTTAAAGTTTAGTGGTTTGGACCATTTTCAGGGTTACTAGCATGTATGAAACTTGCACATACAATCAATAGCAGTATCAGTATAACAGCTAAAAGATAAACTTATTAGAGATGGAGTTACTAATTAGAGTAACTTATTAGAGATAAAATTTTGAGATCTCTCTTCCAAAAGCTAATTTGGAAGATAACCTTTATAAAAATTTTCCAGTAATGATTTGTATTAGATTAACTCTGTATTAGATGACAACCTCGAAGACTAAAAGTTAACACTTACTAGAATCAGCCTTCATAATAAAGTGGATCAGAATAATTATCTGTATAAATCAAAGAAGACTGCAAATCTGTTTCTCAAGATAAGATACTGCCTGCTACGGATAGCCTCATACAGCTATCAGTGCCCTATCAAGTGTGTGGAACTACTTGCTTGTCAATTAAATAGGATGTGAATGTGAAAAGTAGACGGACACAGGAGGCATGTTTCGTTATGGTAATAGATATCATCTTCACTCAAACTGACCAACAGCAAACAAGAAAAATTCAGAAGCCAACTGAATTTGGAATGTGTGTGACGAAAATCCCATTCAGTACCTCATGATATTCTCAGTGAATTATTTTTTTTTTGGTAGCACAGTAACTTGGAAAAAAAACAATGAAGCAACAGCAAAACAGAATCCCTCCTTTCCCAAGGACCTGAAATTCCCTCTGAACTTTACTCCATGATGCCTAGGAAAAGTTTAAAAACAGACACTATTGCGTCAATACCACTGCCTGGCATACTAAGCAATTCTGTCTGTGTCCACCTGCTGTCACTTACCTTATGAATAGATTGCAAGCTCTTACAGGCAAAGACTATTTTTTAATTTTCTTTTATACCAGGATGTGATAGTATCTGCATCTCCTCTGTGCTACAGTAATATAATAAGCTAAATAACATTGTCATGCTTTAATTATTTTCTGCTCTAAGCTTTAGATCCATCAAAAGTGAGAGATGGTTGCCCAAGTTTCTAGCAATAAAAGGCCATTTTTTCCACATGTGACCCAACATGAAAGTAAGCACTCTGCTTGCTAGCATCCATGATGCAAAGTTTTTATTCTTCACACCATGGAAAAAAAAAAAAAAAAGAAAAAAAGAAAAACCAAACCCCCAAAAAACCACAGAGCTATCATTAACGAACTGCAAGTTACGCTATCTTTTCAACCATTTCAACCCTTTCATTGGAAAGAGGAGGTAGTTTAGAAGTAAGGCACGTCCTGCACCGTCTGACCAGCCATAAGGCACATTTCCATTCGACTGAAAATATGATCTATTTTAAGACTGGCAATGAAAGTTGGAAGAAGTAATCAGGAAGAAGTAATCAAATGCACTTGGAGTACTGTAATGTCTAGCCTCAGACTGCAGCAGAAACACAGACAAAGCATCTTTTTTTTTACTATAGAAAAACTACGTACTTCATCCAGTGAAATTTGAGAATGACAGACCTACGGAAGTATGGGGCCACTGGCTCATAAGGCTTACTGGCATTTAATTCTTTCTTTCAGAGTGAAAGGAATGGACACAATCATGTAAGTATTAAAAATGCAGCTTGAGATGCCTCTGTCTTCTGTTAACTTCTACAGTTATCTTGAAAGTGAGCTGGGAAGTTAAGATGTTGTTTTATTAAAAGAGTTTTAAATCCATGATTTTGTTTTCATCATTACCTTGAACTAAAATTTACCCCCAAAGATCGAAGGGCAAAAATTGCATCACAACCAGGGGATAAAGTTACAGCCATGTTGATACCTGCTCAAGTAAACCTTTAACAAATAATAAGGACAGAATTCAGATTCCTTGCCAACAGATCAGTCTCAGCATAGCATTAAGTTGTCCTCAAAGTTTGAACTGGCTCTTATTCAAAGTAGTATGAGAACCGGGTTCTCCAAATGCAAAAGCCACCTCAGCTAGCTTCAATATGAAAGTTGTCAAACTGTGCAAACTCAAACGAGCGAGTTCCAACAGCAGCCCAGCCGTTACTTGGTTTCGAAATGGTGACATTCTCCCAGAGTGGATAACCATTTAACAGTCCTGAGGCAGAAGTGCCCTGTCAAAAAAAAGAAAAAAGTTAGCTTTGTATAATCCAGTGATTGTGTCGACACTGAGCCTACTCACACGGGCGAAGAGACAAGGCAGAAAGATGTCAAGTCAACTTTCAACTACATTTCACACATTTTCCATGCAGAGGTGCTTCTAAATGTTGCATAGAATCCTCCAGTGCCTATGAGCTCTGTGAAAAAGATCTAATGCCTCTACAGTGAATATACAAAAAGCTCATCTTCCCCTAACTCACAGCTTTGCAAACTCAGTGTAGAATCTGAAAGGTAAACTAGTTTTACTCTTTCACTTGTGTCAGGCTCCCTCAAACAGCTGCACTGTCTTAAGGGGATATGATACACCTGGCACTGATTCTTCAGAATTAAGCAAAAGTCAAAAGGAAAGACAAATGTATTTTAGTCATTAAGCTGAGAGGAAGAGGGGACAGCAGAATCTTCCAAGTATCATGTTGCCATTAAAATTAAAAACACTCTCAGGAAAAGTTACAATTTATTTTGCCACTGTTCCACTAAACAGTAGTTAGGAAAAAAGTACTTCAGTTTACCTGTATTTCTTAACCTGAAAGACAATTATACAGACACAGGTAAAAGCAAAGAATATCTTTCAAGGAGTCAGCGTGAGAATTCTTTAAAGAGGGCTCTGCACTTCTGTCACTACATCAAAGGCATATTTTGTACAAAACACTTTAACAGCACACATGGAAGTTTGTAGCATCGTCATTTTAAATTACCACCATTGCTTTGTGTTTTAAACAATTTATGTTCATCTTCAGCACCCCATTCTGGTTAGCAAATATCTTGGCCCATTCTACAGATGGCAATCACTGTCTTAAGTGTGTGTGTACAAAAGCCAAAATTAAACTACATCCATTCCAGTGAATGCCTCAGGTATGAGTGTCCCTTTGTCTCCCAATGTGAATGCACAAAAGACAAAAAAACCCCCTAATACTCACATTTTAGGATGAGGGAAAGACACAGTGCGTAATTCTAAAAGAGAGTTTGCTTCAGTAGAAGATCTCCCCAGCTAGGATTCAAGCTTCCCCACATTTCATGCCACTTTGCAGGCGCAAAGGTTACATTAGGCAAAGGGATCAGGGATTCAGCAGAGGCACTTAAAACCTTTTAGTTACTTGCACCAATGTCACACCCAGCTAAGTGCATAGGTATATTTAAAGTAGAGCTTGGGACTAATTTCATCACCAAGTGACTGTGGCCAAAAGGCGGGGGGGGTGGGGGGGGGGGGGAGGGTGGACAGGCTTCTCATTAACTGTGGCCCATGTTTACATCAACACTATGCCCATGCTTTTTCAGTATAGGAAAGAAGGATGGCAGCTCATCTGAGTTCCCCAGTCCTAAACTAGCTCCACGTACAAGTCCTTAGCATGGAAAGCGAATTGGTGGGAGCCAGATTTGTAAAACAGGCTGGTTTAGTAGTTTACTGACAGTCTTCAGAACACAAAGTCAAGTCATGATCTTTTCATTCAAAATATTTGCCTCTCTAGCCTGCCTATCTCCATCTTTCAACTCATCTTTCCAGTTATTTTCTATACTCTCTCCAGTTTTCCAAGATATCTTTAAAAATACAGGCAGCAGAACTTGGTATGGTATTTTAATATTGGTTTAAAATAACAGAGATATTATTTCTGGTTTAGATAGGGCAAACTAATGCAAGTAGACAGTCAATAGTATAGCACAGTTTTGTCTAAACCATTTAGGATTGCAAGTATCCTTACCTGAATGTTGAGAGTAAGTGTGTGCCACGCATTATCCCGGACACCAGACAGTCCTTTCATTAATATTTCTTCTCCAGCTGCAAAAAGTGCTTAAGGTTAGCAAAGTGTTACTTCACCATTTTGCTGAGACTGATAAATACCAAGCCGGCAAAAGGAAAATAATACCTATTTTTCACAAGTGTTCAAGACTGACATCTTACCAATTTCAATTGCAGCATGGAAGGCTTAACAGGCAAACATAGACTCTACATTATCAATGCATTCTCCTGTTTTGCCAGGACTGTTTTTCCACTGAAATCTCCAATGCTCTTGGGAATTTGGCCTGAGATAAGGATTCCCTCTATTGACAGTATGGGTTCATGAAGTTTGACAGTAGCTATTGCTCTGCTTGTTCTATAGATCTCCTTGTTTATGTACTGGAACTTCTTTAAATAAGAGGGTTTGAGTTGTAACATCATCATGTTGCTTAGTTCTAGTCAAAATTTAAGCTAAGCAAAAATTGGGTGTGAATGACACCTGGATGGAAGACCTGAAAAAAATTAAGTGCTACAAGTAGAATCTTCAATTATTCAGTAAACAGTTTTAGCTACAAGTTAATTTAACACTCAGGCTCCCTTCTAGAAAAATATAAAGATCACTGAAAATAGCAGTACAGAAAAAAATTATCATATTATGTAACAAGCATCTCAGTCTGAAATAATGAGGTGGTTAATCAAAATCCTCTCATTTCATCTAGGAAAAATTATTTCTGACAGCTTGAGAAACTAATTGGGTAATGTTGTTATGTCTTATTAAAAATAAATACTGGAGTCAATCCTAAACAGGAGTATATTTTTTACATACAGCTTAAACTTAAGTTGTTGTGAAGTTAGACATTGCAAAGTTTCCCTAGGGAGCACCAGTATGTTAAGAGAAGCTGATGTAAAGCCTTCTTTTATGCTATCTATCCATGGTAAAAAAGGAAAGAAAAAAATACAACAGAAAAAAACAAACAAACAAAAAAACACAACAAAATGAGGAGAAATGAGAAACTACAGCTACCAAATAGAAGACGAGACTATTTCTAAGGTCCAGTATAGTGTGAAACAGGTCATTATAGGCTATCTTCATATCAGATATACTGCAGATCTAGAAATTGCATTTGACTCAACAGGAACTATTGAAGATTTGAATTTATACTCATGAAGTGATAGGAAATGTATTTAAACAACAAAACTTGCCACTATTTCAAAGCAAATTAAAAAGAACTTTTAGCTATTGAAGAAGTATTATGACATACACTCTTTCATGTGACTGTCAAATGTTCTATAGATTAACACATATGAATGTCAGCATCACAAATAGAATATGCTCTCACTCCACTGAGCTAGACTAACAGTAGAATGCATAGTTTGTGGAAACAGTAGGCCATTCATCATCACTTAAGCCAGATGTAGAGCAGTGTGAATCAACGTACTTACAAGACAGGCCACTGCATTTCAAGCAGGATTTTCTTTTTAGGTGTAGTATAAGAATACAGATCAAACCTTTCTGTAATTAATGTTGTACCAGAGTATTTATGAAAAGCAAAATAATTTACATTTGCTAGTGTAAAGTAGGTTTTGTCAGCAGAAAAAAAAAAAAAAAAATAAATCCTGAAATCTGAGACTGAGAAGTGGACCAGCCAGTAGCCTTCAGATGCTCTCTTCACATACAAAATGTGGCAAGCATTAAAGGACAATAGGTTAAATTCATAGCGATGACAACTGAATTACAAAATCTCAATGTTAGTCATTTTTATCAAGACTATCAAAATTACATGTCCATATCTCAGCATCCACTTTAGCAAAAAGCTGCTTACCTAGATCACCAGTGACTCTGTAGGTGCCATCTGCAAAAACCCAGAAGAAAACTCCTTTGGTACGTCGAACATATATCCCACCATTGTCGACTCTTCCTGCAACAAACACGCCCCCATCACGTTGTTTTTCTATGTAGATGTCACAAGTGACTGTCATGTTTACCCTATAAGGGAAGTTGAGTGTTTTAACAAGCAAGGAATTGGGTTTTTTTGAGCAGACAGTAGGTAGAAGAGTATTCCCTATGTAGTACAACAACCTTTTTGAGGAAAGATTTAGCAATCCTAATTGTGATCTACAGGTGTGAGATGCACAGGACTTGTCTAGAGTGGTTGTTTCCCACCTGTGAGTCCATAGATTTTCTTACAAAGAGCAATTCTCAGAAACCAACAACAAAATGAAGTGTATTGTCAGCAACTTTCAATTAATTATTTAAAAAAACCCTAACAAAGAGAAGTTTTGCATCTTCACAGAAAAACTGTCAGATCTGCAAAATGCTTTTAGGTAACTAAATCAAACCCAAGACTCAAGGCCATAGCACCACATCTGCTAAAATTTGATCTCCTTTTCTCTAGGATTTTTAATACAGACCAAGTCTCAAGTAATACAGACCTCTTGCTCAAAAGCCAAACCAAACATTTTTAAACAAAATGGTCAAATACGTTGAAATTATTTTATTTTCCTGAGGTGATACTTCAGCTCAACAGTAAAGCACTGTGTTATACATATAATGACAGCTATAAAGGAGAATAAAGCAAAGGAATACCAGAACAATCAAATGGCACCTAGAAAATTTACACAACTTCCCCCACCCTGAAGCTGCACTACAAGCCTCTGAACAATAAAAATTAAAAGCATTCCTTACCTCTATTAACTTACATTCAAATTAAGAATCTACATCCCATGTCTAAAAGGACTTGCAATATGGACACAGCTACAAGGTCACATATTTAGGAAGTTTCTAATTATCTATAATTATTTACAGAATGTGAAAAGACTCTCTATGACATCAGCTCAGCTGATAACTAAATCAGAAAAAATATTTATTTTTGCAACTCTTCTCCCCACCTCTTATGTAACAGTAAGAACCACCTGAGATTTCATTCTAATGTAATGCTATTAGAAATATCAGATTCTTGGATACATATTCATTACACAAACAAAAAATTCTTTCTTGCCACCCTACGTATTAAACAGACCCCCACATCTTGCTTAAGCCATTATAAAGAGATTGGAAGCAATGTAGAATGAGTTAAATAGTAATATTTTCAGGATACAGCTAGGTTCAATAAAACCATCAGAGCAAAACACTAACAAATTCAGGAATAGAAACAAAAAGCTTTCACAAGCACAAGATTAAAATCCAAACTAAAACCAACTAAATAATCCTGAAATGTAATCACAATAAATTGACATCCATGACTGCAGTCGATTATCATTCCACAGAAAAATTCAGTGCAAGATTGGTTCAGTATTTCAATAGCATGCACTAATGATTGAAAACAACTACATAGGACAAGATAAGCCTTAAGCTGAGGGTGAAGCAAACAAGTTAGAGGGCCTGAAATTGACGACTATCATTACGAAAAGTTACAGATCAGTAAAACTCTAATAATCAGCTGAATATTCAGGAAGCAAGCTTGGTTCTAAAAACAAGATGAAAATTCAGAAAGAAATGGTACCAAAATGAAACAATAAGTTTTTAGGAATCTCAGTACAGTAATTTACAGTAGCTGTTATAGGGACTACTGAATATGATCAGTGAATGCAGATGAATACTCAACAAGGGAAAGTTGATTATAGGGGGAATACGAGACTTTGCTTAACAGAGGGCTGCAGAAGAAAACATCAGGTAACTAACTGAAGAACAACCTCCAAGATGATGGTATCCTTCCAGGCTTCAGAGCAAAGTGATTTAATCACTTATCCAGGCCAGAAATTAGAAGCGTGAAACATGTTCTGAAAAAGCATTTGGGGGATCAATGATCCAATCAAAGCAAAAAACCCTGACAAAATGGCTGTTTTAAAGAACATATCAAATGAATTTAAGGTAGATTTCCATATAGAAGAAAAAGTTTTAAGCATAAAGTTTATTATTACTTACTGTTACTAAACCAATTAGTTAACAGGCTCTTTTCCCAAATGCTTTTTAATTTTAAATAAACATTATGCTAAAATATGCCGCTTAATTCCAAATTACTTTCATTATAGCTCCTAGAAAGAATTGCAGTCATAACCATACTCTTATCAAATCAGTAAATCTCAGTTACGTTTACCCAGAAATAAAACTGTTTTAAGCAGTTGAATCAAATCCACACAATTCTATGAACTGCTCAGAAGATGGCAGTCTGCAACAAACATAACTGAATTAACTCACACTATTTCATTGATATGAGATTGGTCAAATTGCTAACAATCAAGCAAGACAACTCAAAACTAAGTAATTTAAACTAAATAATTTTTTTTGTCCCATTTAAAAACATATTGAAACTCAGTGCACAGTTTGAATTAGGATTTTGACTTAGTCTTTCTGGTACACTAACCCAGATCCATTATTCTGAAAAATCAGCTTGAACAAATATGCCCAGCAGGACATTAGAAAAAAAAATTTCCAAGACAGTGCAGCACTGGGCCAAGCTACCAAGAGATGTGGTGGACTCCCCATCCTTTCATGTTTTTAAGACTCATTTAGACAAAGACATAGATCTCTTAGAGTTGGCAACAGCCCTGAGCAGGGCTCAATGACTTTTAGAAGTTACTTTAAAGTCATCATTTCTACATGTCTACAGAGAGTCTGAATGCAAAAGCCACTCTGTCCAAGAGAAATGAGGCTTGAGACAGATTAACTGATGATAACTCACACTGGAAAGGAGGACATTTCCCCAGGTGTCACAAGAAAATACTATTTACATACCACTGAAAATTTCCTATGACACTGATGGTCTGGTCTGCATCAGAAGCCCAAGTGATAGGTCGCTGAACCACCACCTGGCGGAGTGTGAACACATGATCTCCTGGGTCAGAAGCATTTATGAAGTATTCAAATACACCTGTCTGATCTGCGAAATTTGGGGCTTCACTGAAAGGTGGATTACCTAACCAGAAAATAAAATACATATCAACACCAAAACATTATTTTTCTTCTGTGTGCTCTTGTTTTCAGAAATTTCCCCTGAAAATATCCTCCAGAATTTTTACTTACTCTATCAAAGCACAGTCTCCAAGAAGTTGGAAGGTGATTTTAGTTTTGGTTTTGTTTTTAAGCAGATACCAGTTTTTGCAAACACATTAACAAAGTCAATTACCTTCTTCCCTATCTTCCTTCAAAAACGAGTTCACTATAGTTATGAGCTATATCATTTGCATCAAGAATTTTAAAACTGTTAATGACCACCCACTTAAGTCACAGAATTAAATACACTTCACTGCAAGTTAAGTATGCAGGTGTAAGTTGTTGGAGAAGCAGGTATAAATAAACAAAAATAAAACACACATTCAGACTACTTCACGTCTCTTACATTAGAGGACTCAAAAAACATAATTGTTATTGCCTTTCTACATCAAGACTATAGCTGTGTGTGAATTAAGTTTTTGGATAAGAGAATTCTGACTTACGAATATTGAAATCATCTTTGTAATTTGAAGGAAAAGGCTGAGGTGGTGGAGGCTCTGGGCAACCACATTTCTGCCCTGTCTTGAGTGTAGTTAAAGTGTAAACTTCATCCACGTTCAGATCTAAAGAAAAACTTCCCTTCCACACCTGGAATTAAAGAAAGCTCAAGCTGCAAAAATCAAACAACTAAATAACAAAATACCCAAGCTCCTGAATTAAAGGAGATCCTCTGAAGTCTTGATTCAAGGCAAAAATCTTATATTCTCTATATCTATATCATTTAATATATCCAAGCTATTTTGAAAACCCCTTTTCCCCAAACTCTTTATTACCTCCAGGTAAGCTTGTATATAAGATAGTAAAATTGTAGTCAAACAGAGCTAATAAAACATGCCCTAATTATGCAGTTTAGGCATGAAAGCCCAGGAGTTCCAGCAAAGGGAGAAGAAACACCTGAAATTGCAGAGAGACTGTAATTAACACTGATCAACTTACCTTTACAGGATGGAGTTGCTGGAAAAGACTAGAGTTTCCAGATTCAAAACCAAGTCTAGAATGCCACACTTGAAGGGTTTCCACCATATACTACAATGAAACACAATATAAAACTAGAAAGAAAAAAAAAAAACACCACCCCCCTCCCCCAAAACTCTTGAGTATTCACCTTGAGAAATATCAGTCCTCTAAGGGTGTCCAGTTTTTATTTTAGAGCTGTTGATCACATTAGAGGCCACCACTCTATTCAGCTAGCCATTACATATGGCTTACCTTTTTATAGATTATACATCAGTAAGCCATTGTCCTAACATGCAGTAATGTTGCTTATACAGACAGAAAGCCTTGCCATCACACATGCAATCTTTAGCTTCTCTATTACCAGCAACAGTATCCCTTTGATACAAGCTCTGCGTAGGAGCAACCAGGCTGAAATAATATCCTGCTTTCATGATACCTTTAGTTTAGTTGCTGGTTCTTTGATATTAATTTTTGAGCAAAGTACTTCGCTTAGAGATCTCCAAACTTCTGCAACACTACGGCATATCAACTACATTAGTTACAGATTTTAATCATATCCAACCCCTACAATTTTTTTTAGTTACCCAAAGCAAGCAACCTAGAGTTTGATTTGGATAAGCTGTCTGATACTTCTCCCAAAGGGAGCTGTATATCAGAAATAATGCTCAACTACTTTTCCTAAGCAAACCATTTTATTGCCAAAAGTGTTGTCCAAACTATCTCCTCCTAAACAAAAGGAAACTAATGCCACCAAAAATCAAATTCCAAGTAAGTAAACACTTTCAGCTTCTGACAAGCAATCATCCAAATCAACTAACACAGATTCACTCCAGTTTACACTGTGAAAGTATTGTTCACATTTCAGAGGGAAATTCAGTTTAGCAATATTAAAAAAAAAAAAAAAAAAGAAAAAACAACTGGAACATTCTCAGAATATCTCTTCACAGGATGGAACAACATAACCTACAGTATACAATCAACTGCAGTAACTCCCCTGGAAAGGAGCTGATAACAACTAGAAAGGTCATGGCCATGCTGGCTGGTCAAACTATGTCAGAACGTCAGAGCACCCATCCTTGGAATAAATCCTAAAGAAAAAAAATCTAATTGCATTTCTGTTCTGAGGATTTTCTTCTTCAATATACAGATGATTAGACTGGGAGGTGGTAATTCTACTAATTCAGTTATGACATTATATCTCATGATAAAAGCAGAACTAGAATGCTTAAAACTTTGCCAGGTGTGTAACAGCCTCTAGTATTGGAGGTAAAGAACTCCAATTTCTTGATAACCTGTGATATTGTCTCGCATGTATTTGATTATGCATAGCAATTCATTTTACAAGACTGATCAAATGTATTCAGGATCTACTTACAAATGACCCTTTGAGGTAGAAAGTTGCTCTCTGAGGTGTCACACTGAAATGAGGCAGTGGAGGCCTGATACATTGAGAGTGATTATGAGTCTGAAGGAAAAAATAAATTTAACAGAAGGAACATAAATTACTGGAATGCATCACATAGCAATGTTCATGAAAAACATACACCATAAATTGAAATTAAAAAAGCAACTTCGGGTCAATTTGCAACTATTTATTTCACTGTTATCTTAATGATAACTGCAATTACACTAGCTTAATAATTTCATTTTGAATACTGCTTAAAATAAGCATGATTTAATTTCCTCCCAGAATGTGTCATCAAATTAAAGCTAATTTGTGATATAAAGTTGACATATACATTGGTCTCCAGGAAGATTCAACTAGCTATTCAAAGTTTAGATAGAAAAAAGGACCTCTAGTGGTCTCACTAACAAAGCTACAAGCATCAAAGAACATATTCACAAATATCGAACTACATAAATCAAAACAGGTTACTCATAACAAAATACTTCCTTTATCTTTTTTAGTTCACTGGAATTGCTGATGCACATACCATAGTTTCAATGATGACGGTAAGGTTTCCCAGGCCATCTGTGAGAGCTACAAAGCTGCCACCTCCTTCTAAGTGTCCATCCACTTGCAAGTATGACCAGCCTGGCTGAGTAAATTGTGTTGTGTGTGCTGAGACAAAAGAGAACAAAAATCAGAAGAAAATAAAGTCTTAATGAAAAAATAATACCATTTGTAGCCTGAATTAAATTTCTCTCTCATCCATGCTAACAACAAAACTTGATTTGGGGAAGAAAGTAATGGAACTTCCAAAACAAATTCTACCTATACAAGAAGAAAGATTAAAGAATTATACTAATGCACAATTAAAAACACCAGCTCTGTGGCAGACAAAACAGTTAAAAATTATAGCAATCATTTAGACAGGAAGAAAAAACTATTACACCACTATGTAAGTCAATCACATACATGCAATATTAATATTCATCACAGCTTAGATTTTCCCAAATATCTCTTTTTTTTTCTTTTTTTCTTTTTTAAATAAAACAGTTGAGCCAGAGAAAGCATAGATGGACATCTCCATGAGGAATAACTAAATAAGCAAGGTTTTCAGCATATAATAGAGAGTACCAAAGAATGTGACCTAGATAATGCAAATCCTGAGCAACATGGAAACAGGAACAACTGCTCAGTTGTTCTTAACTGTTCATATGACAGTATGGCCGTTATTTTTTTTTTAATGCTTTTACATATACAGGTAACTAGAAGAATAATAAAAATGAAGGCATTTGCCTTGTTCCTCCTTTATGGCATTGTATATGCTATTTGCTCTACTGAACTGTGACAAAGACAGTAAAATATTACAGAAGGACTACAGAGTAGCCAGTGAATCCATGTGTCCATAGACACTATGTGAACATACTGCCCTTTCCCCAAGCACAAGGAAATGCTGACTTACACAAGCCAAGAATCTCAAGCAGTACAAGAATACAGAGGTTCTTTGTTCCATTTTCTCAAATTGAGAGGTATCAAATGTCTACTTAAGGATTAAAAAAAAGGGAGAGGAACTAGGAAAGCACACTAACCTTTATGGGCACCTCAGATCAAAATATTTTAATAGTAACAGCTATACAATGCAGCAGTTTATTAATTTCTGCTGTATGTAACAGTCAAGTATTAAGATTTCTCTTGCTATTAGATCTTTCTGCTATTAAAAGAAGCTTTTTTCTTCTTCTTCTTCTTTTTTAAAGCATTCACAAAACTTTCCACAAATCTACTTTAATTTGGTACAAGAAATAATACACATAAAAAACACTAAATAAATAAAGGTCTCAGAAAATACAGTTACGCTCTGTGTCAGATCACCAAACTTTTAACTGCAAACTTTTTACCTGTAATCCAGATAGGAGCTTCTACTTTGTAGTGGCCACTCCACGGCTCCTGCGCTGTCATTAATCCACATCGACCAAAGGGCAACTCTTCATAATAACTAGCCACCAAGTTCCATGCAATGGTTCTGGAAGAAAAACAGGTCTGTTTGCTCCATTCATATGGATAGTACTAGATGAATTTAGTACAAGAATTTATTCCTCTTTTCTCTGGCATACAATAAAAAGAAGTTTAAGGAAAAAAAAAAAAATCCTTCCAGCTAAAGAAGAAAAAAAACACAGGAGAGGAAAATAAAACAAATCAACTTCCAGTGTTGAGAACTTCTTACAAAAGTGATGATACATTCTCTGGCTATATCACCACAAAAAGTTGCACAATAAAGGAAACATGTACTGAGTGTTAAAGACTCCATTTGTTTTTTTTTTTTCCTGTTTTGAAGGGGAAAAAATTAAGTTTTCAAGGTTTACAGCTTTTTGTTAGGATGTTTTGGTTTTCTTCCTTGGTTGGTTGTTGCTGATGATGGTTGTAGGTCTTTCTGTGGGGAGGGGCTTGGGGCCATGGATAAATACCACTAAAAAAAAAAATCCTTCCTTTATCCATATAAATAACAAAGACAAAACAACTCTAGCCATTTTCCAGGAGCTGTTGCTATTTCAAGAAGTTGTCAGGATACTGACAAGGTTAATGACTTCAGGTCTTTTGATTTGGTCTTCGCTGAAAACCTTTTGCTAGGACTTTAAACTTAAGACCTGTGTGCCATAAATATGGAAATACAGCTTAATAAAGCAGTTATGCAGAAAACAAATGCTGGCATGCTGTTCTGATATTGTTTATAGATGAGTGCAAAGGCCTCATTCTAAAGTCATTGCCATAGATTTATCACACTACACATGCATTTCAGAAGAGATCCCGAAATCCTGCAAAAAGGTACTCTTAAAATAAAAAACTCTTGAGTTGTAAACCCAACTTTCTCACATTAAACTTGTTCTGCAAAGTTTCAAACTTAGAAAAGAAATGTAGGGAACTCAAGTTCAAAAGAAATGAGCTTAGCAGAAAGATAAGCTGCCTTTCATCAGGAAGACTCTGTTTTCAATATAAAAGCCAAGGTAACTTCAATATTGGATAGATGGACATGGAACTATTCTACAATAATTTCTAAATACAATACATAGGTCTGAGCTGTCAGGTTGCTAAACAAATGGGGCATATATATAATTACAAAGGTCTTGTAAAAAAGAAAAACAATGGGAAAAGAAAGACCCCGAAGTAAGATATATAAGCCTATGAGAGTCAAGATGCAACCAGAAAGGTCAGGAATTCATGTAGGAAATACTCATCTGTTAAAGAGTTTCAGCTTGCAGAGAAGGAGACAGAAGATTCATAGAAACCAGGTGACTCAAGCAACCTCCCTTTACAAGTATCTAAGTGCTTTGTGCTGTGCTCCATTTCAAGTATTTCAGGCAAAAAGATTTCTCTTTATTGTTCGAAAATGAAGTTACATAAAAACTAAAAGCTTTGAAAAATTTTGCTTACATCTTGATGCCTATATTTTCTTTAATCAGACTTTTTTTTTTTCTTCCTCTTTCAGATTAACAGTTGTTGCACTGGAAACATCAAAGCATGTTTTCTATTCTCTTCTAAAACTGTGAGTTATGTAATTTCCCAGTAAATAGAACAGCTTTCTTCCAGATTTCAGTTGGGAAAGAAAATGTGCAGGAAACAGTAAACATATCAAAAGACTACAGCATGTTTTAGGATGGACTCCAAGAAAGAAGTTGTATGGAAAAAAATAGATAATTGCATCCATACCTCCTACTTTTAACTGAAGACAAACAACCTGATAAAGGCCTTAAGAAAAATACAGATAAATTAGCTTTATTGTTATTCTCCTCCCATGTTTTTCATGTTGTTAGTTCTTCTTAACATTCTCTTTTTAACAAATATCATTAGAGTCTCAAAGGCATCTGAAGTCAGCTGCATAAGCCATTGGATACTGTGGAACAGTAACTCAAGAAAACATTAGAACATGTGGGACTTCTACCCCAGAAAAAGGCAAGGACAGTAGACTTCATACTTTGCTATTCAGACCGACAGTGGAGAGAGTTTCAGTTTACCTACTATCTTACCATAGCAGATGGATGGGCTATGTAGTACTTTAAACAATTCTTATGTACGAAGTTGTGAAAGTGAGCAACAGTGCACAACACTTACGAGGTCATGTTTCCATTCACGTAGTTTTGGTTCAGGATCCGAGCCCAGCAGCCTGCACCTACTTCATCATTGAAAGTACTGTAATCTTCCGAAGACCACAGTTTCTTCTTCGTTAATAAGGCGTTTGGCACTGTTTTTGTTCCAGGATAGTGAGCCCTACACAATATTTTAAAAAGAAAGAGCACTTAACACAAAAAGAAAAATCAAAGCCTGGAAGTACATACACCAGCAACGATTCACCTCCTCCAAACTGAAAATTAAAAACAAACTGTCTCTGGAATAATACTAATGGAATAGAACAAAATGGAATGAGAGCAAGCTGTAATGTTCCATAGCTTATTGTATTTGCATCAGCAGAAGATTATTTCTTCTGATACTGGACAAATTCAAACACAACAAAGAAAGCCTACAGAGGGTGGAAGAAAGGACAGGCAGCCTGGGAGGAATACAGAGAAGCTGTCTGAGCAGTCAGGGATCAAGTTAGGAAAGGCAAAACCCTGACAGAATTAAATCTGGCCACAGACATCAAGGACAACAAGAAAAGCTTCTATAGGTACGTCACTGATAAAAGGAAGACTAGGGAAAATGCAGGCCCTCACCAGAAGGAAACGAGAGACCTGGTTACCCAGGACATGGAGAAGGCTGAGGTACTCAATGACTTTTTGCCTCAGTCTTCACTGGTGAGTGCTCCAGCCACACTGCCCAAGTCACAGAAGGCAAAGGCAGGGACTGGGAGAATGAATAACCCCCCATGGTAGGAGAAGATCAGGTTCGAGACCATCTAAGGAACCCAAAGGTGCACAAGTTCATGGGACCTGATGAGATGTATCTGAGAGTCCTGAGGGAACTGGCAGATGAAGTGGCTAAGCCACTATCCATCATACTTGAGAAGTCGTGGCAGTCCAGGGAAGTTCCCACTGACTGGAAAAGGGGAAACATAACCCCCAACTTTATAAAGAAGAAAAAAGGAAGACCCAGGGAACTACAGGCCAGTCAGTCTCACCTCTGTGCCTGGCAAGATCATGGAGCAGATCTTCCCAGAAACTTTGCTAAAGCACATGGAAAATAAGGAAGTGACTGGTGACAGCCAACATGGCTTCACTAAGGGCAAATCGTGCCTGATAAATTTGGTGGCTTTCTACGACACGGTTACAGCATTGGTGGATAAAGGAAGAGCGACTGACATCATGTGACTGGACTTGTGCAAAGCATTTGATACCGTCCCACACAACGTCCTTGTCTCTATAAATTGGAGACATGGATTTGACGGATGGACCACTCGGTGGACAAAGAATTGGCTGGGTGGTCGCACTCAAAGAGCTGTGGTCAACGGCTCAGTGTCCAAGTGAGACCAGTGACGAGTAGCATTCCTTGGGGGTCAGTATTGGGACTGGCACTGTTTAACATCTTTGTCAGCCACATGGACAGTAGGATTGAGTGCACCCTCAGCAAGTTTGCCAATGACACCAAGCTGTGTGGTGCGGTCAACGTGCTGGAGGGAAGGGATGCCATCCAGAGGGACCCTGACAGACTTGAGAGGTGAGCCCATGCAAACCTCATGAAGTTCAACACGGCCAAATGCAAGGTCCTGCACATGGGTTGGGGCAATCCCAAGCACAAATACAGGCTGGGCGATGAGTGGACTGAGAGCAGCCCTTCGGAGAGGGACTTGAGGGCATTGGCTGACAAGAAGCTAAACGTGACCCAGCAATGTGTGCTTGCAGCCCAGAAAGCCAATTGCATTCTGGGCTGCATCAAATGAAGTATGACCAGCAGGTCAAGGGAGGTCATTCTCCCCCTCTACTCCGCTCTCGTGAGACCCCACCTGGAGTACTGCATCCACCTCTGGGGCCCCCAATGTAAGAAGGACATGGACCCGTTGGAGCAAGTCCAGAGGAGGGCCATGAAGATGATCAGGGGGCTGGAGCACCTCCCCTGAGGATAGGCTGAGAGTGCTGAGGTTTTTCAGCCTGGAGAAGAGAAGGCTCCACGAAGACCTTATAGCAGCCTTCCAGTACCTAAAGGGGCCTACAAGAAAGCCAGAGAGGGACTTTTTACAAGGGCATGGAGAGATAGGATGAGGGGTAATGGCTTTAAACTGAAAGAGAGTAGATTTAGATTAGATGCAAGGAAGAAGTTCTCTACTGTGAGGGTAGTGAGACACTGCCACAGGTTGCCCAGAGCAGCTGTGGATGCCCCATCCCTGGAAGTGTTCAAGGCCAGGTTGGATGGGGCTCTGAGCAACCTGGTCTAGTGGAAGGTGTCCCTGCCCATGGCAGGGGGGTTGAAACTAGATGATCTTCAAGGTCCCTTCCAGCCCAAACCATTCTATGATGCTACAATACATGCCAGCATATAAGTAAACCTTGCTTTAAATATATAATGCAATTTCTGCAGCTTGCTAAAGCAAAGCTTTATCCTGAAATTGAGCTTGAAGATTTTCATAACCGTAATATGCTAAATAGAGAATATACATGTTACTTTGTACCATCTTAAATAGAACCATAAGTTCATACAGTAAGATAAAGTACTAAGCATTATTCTAAGAACTTAACTGCATGAATGTCTTAGCACCTAAACATGAACTTGGCTAGTTTTGCACACCTTCTTAATAAACTCAGGTTTCAAAAAGGCATGCTAGTTGGACTAGAAAAGTTACGGAGCTGTAAAGTGAAAATAGTTGAAAAATATAATGAAAGCTAATTTTCTTTCCAAGATTTTCCTTCGTGTGAGGAGAGATGCTTTCTCTCAAATGAAGACTATTGATTATACTTACAACATTGATTCACTGTGCCAACTTAGCCTGACTGAAATAAAACCTTTCAAATCACTTGCAGAAAACAGGGTCATGATTTTCCCCTCACTTAGCACACTCAGTGAACACACTAAATAGCTTCATTTTAGTGTATGTATCAGCACTGGGAAGGAAGGCATAAATATTTCCTTTACTACTAGCCTGAAACTTGACAAGTTGATAAATTTGTGACAGGGACACAAGAAATACCAGTTTTTCTAGGCTGACTTGGTGGGGTTTTTTTCCATTATTTCCCCCCTACTGGACAAGCAACCATCTCCTAGTGTTGTAGTCCTTCACACATAGCTTCACTAATGATAACGTAACAGACAGTAGAAATTTTAGCTACAACCCTCTCTGCTGTACAGATTACTGTGTATTTCCCTTTTTGCTTGGAAACACAAGTATTACCTTAATACCAAGAAAAGGTTTTTGTAACGGCATGAAGTATGTAGCTTGCAAAGACAAGGCAAAGAAGGAATAATTTGTATTTCTACATTCCATATCCTGAAGAGCTGTTTCTTAAATATTAAGAGTCAACATCCTTGCCGAATACAAGCTGTACTTTACAAAAAGAAAAAAAAGGGGGGGGTGGGGATGAGGGGGTGTTATAGAGAGCCTTACATAAGATTACACAGAACAAGATCGATAGAGCTCTGATTTCCTGCACTAAAACAGAGGGTCACCTTTATTTGCATAAGAAGGAAGAAAAATAATTCTATGTAAAGACACTAAAGCCATTGAAATAAATTGGAAAAAATAGGGATGATAAACAGGATTAAAGTTACAGGGAGAACAAGCAGGTTCTAGATGCAGACTCCTTCAGTGTATCTTTATTGGCAGCTTTGCTCCACTTAAAGCCCACACCCTTAAAATATTCTCATTTTGACCCATTGATATGCAATCAGATAAAACAGCTTCACCACCAGTTGAGAAATTAATCATTTTTCTCTGCTCTATAGATGCAATTTCTATTACTGTTAATGAACACAATTTACATTGTATTTGCTTTTCACTTACATGGCTGTTAACCAAGGAGTTTTGTTTTACTTTCATTAATATAAACATTAGTCCTTAAAAAGTAGGACATGACTAAGGAGTGTGTAACTCGTATTCCACATGATAACTAACTTATTTTTTTAAAAAGTACACCAATCCTTTTTTTTTTTTAAGCTTTTAATAGCACTGTAGAATGTATACTTTAAGAGCCACCCAAATGCACAAAATAAACATTTGCTATCAGATTACAGTGAAGGCTTTCACAACCACTGTGTGCTGGACTTGTTGAACTCTATGTGATTTATATTTAAAGAAACACTAGATCATGCTACAGCCCTCTTTTAGACATCTTGTGCCACTCTACAGCCTCAACAACTAACGCAAGGTGCGCAGCAAAGGACAAGAGATTAGCTGTGTCCAGAACAGCATGCTCTGCTCCTTCAGTAGTGAAAACAATCTTTTTACTGCACTGGAAATGAAAACTCCTACAAAGGAATGACTACACTCCAATCACTCTCAGGAAATAATTGGTCCACTCAAGGACCACTACCATTTGGAAAGACTTGAGTATCCTGATTAATGTTTCAGGAAAAACCACAGACTCCTAAACACCTACCCTTCTTACTGCCTGAAATGAACTGGAGCAGAGCTTATGCATCATTCTTATAGATGTGATGCTTCAGGAGAAGCAGTGGGATTTTGGATTCTCTGCTCAAAAGAGCAGAGTCAGTAACACTGTAACAGAAGGCCGTTGCAAAGAGAGAGGAAAAAGTGATATATATCATGAAAGGGGGAAAAAGAATGGATCTTGGCAGAGAAAAGGTAATGAAAGGAATAGTAGGAACAAAATTATAACAAAAGTGACACAGGTTTAAACCTCTTATTACTGAGAAGAGTTTACCAACAGCTATTACTATCAGTGTCTGAATTTCTTCAAACCACTGCCAGTTACTAAAAAAGTATTGTCGTTGTTCCCTCCTTCTTTCAATCTCACTAGAACCAGCAGATGGTTGGTTCATCATCAGGGCCTCTAGCTGTTAGAGTGGTAACAAAGTATTTTTGAAATATTAACTATTATGAGATTAAGTATGTTTTATACAGCAGATGATGAAGCAGTAACTCCAATGGGAAAAATAATTCACAGTTACCTGTGTAGGGTAGCTAAACTAAATCAGATATATTAAGAAAGTAACATTAATTAAGAAAAGCTCTGCTACTTATGGATTGTAAATACTGCTTTGCACAACTTCCCACAGTGACTCCATCTGGATAACTTAGTTAAAAAAAAAAACAAAGAAGTTTGTGTTATTTTTTGTTTTGCACATAGCAATGGCCCAAAGGGGAGGAAAGGGAAAATCAGGAT